TTTTTTTTTTTTTGGAGCCTGCCTTGGTAACTCTAGTTCCATCATGCTCCTTGCTTGATCAGCCAACGTCAAGCTCTCCCCCTTCACTTTGATCCAGTCTCTATCTGTGTTTCGCTATTGAGCTGAGCAAGAATTGTTTTATCGTCCTCACTGCCATTGAGTCAATGCCTCCTCATAACAACCCTATAGGATGGGGGTTGACCTGTACCTATGAGTTTCCAAAATTGTAACTATTTACAGGAGTAGAAAGCCCAGTGTTTTCCCACGAAGCTTCTGGTGGTTTCAAACCATGTGTATCACAGGGCAACGCAGTAACCACTACACCAGCAGGGCTCCTTTAGCCCACTACAAGTTGGCATCAACTCAATGGCAGTGAGTATAGAAACATGGTTATTAAATCTTAAACAGGATAAAGACAAAAATGAAATATCTGGATGAGGGAGACCATTGGCATGAGGCCAGAACAGTGCCCAAAGGACTCACTGCCTCACAGCTACTTCCATGGGGCATAGAAAACACAAGAAACTGTCGCAAAATCTTGATTGGTGGCAATCTAGCGCAGTCACTGTGGAGACTGCAGAAGTGCAACAGGCTTATGGTCGGGATATGATGCAGAGTAGAAAAGTTTACAAGATTGGCCATACTCTAATTTCCGCCCAGGGCACACCTTCCTAAGGACTCCCCTTCCTTGGGTTGGTCAGGGAGTAGAAGCGAACCACCAGGTCAGCAGTTCGAGACCACTAGCCACTGCTCAGGAGAACGATCAGGCTTTCTGTTCCAGAAAGATTTCATCTTGGAAACTGCAGGGTCACCACCAGTTAGAACTGACCTGGTGGGGATGCATTTGGTTTGGTTTCATAAATGGTCAAAAAGGACTTACTAGAAGCTGACAGCATATGGAGACTCAGTGCATTTGGGGCTCCCCCTGTAAACCATCACCTTCTGAAGATCGTAAACCCAGTGCTCAGAATTTAAACTCTGATACAGTACTATGTACAAACACTGCTTTTAGGGTATAAATATATCAAGATCTGGATTTTACTAAGGTATGAAAAAATTTTTTTAAAAAGAAAAATGTACTAAGTCATCCTCAGTTCTGATATTAATGGCAATTCTAAAGAGTCGGTGTTGGCTAAGTGAAAATGGGCTTCGTTTCTCGGTTAAGGACCATGACTACAATTCTGGAAACTGGTTCAGCCTATGCCAGAGAATGTGTTCTACTCTATTCTTCCCATTTTACAGATGACGAAGCAGGAAGGTAAAAAGACAAGTTACTTCCCCCAGGTCAGGCAGAGCTCAAAGTGGACCACATCCCTTCATTTGTTTTGAAGTGGCTTGAGAGTAAAAAAGTGACTTCAATCTCAAATATAAGGAGAACATTGTTTAAGTCTTGAATGGGACAAAGACAAAACAAAAGAAAATGACCCATCATCCAGATGAGATGGCCGTGAGCACAAGGTCACAATGGCATCCAAAGATTCACAGTGTATTAGAGCCTAAATTCTGAGCACCCTGGTTTGCACAAGGCTATATGGATGGCATTGACAGCCCAAAAATCCTTCTGCAGGATCCCCACACAGATTAAGCCTCCACTGAATTCCTTCTGATTATTAACCAAGAATGTAGATAGTCTTGGTCTCAGGCTGATACATTTAGACCATAGATTACCTTCACCCCTCTCCAGCCGACTCAGGGAGGAGCAGTCTCTTAGGGGTTTGCCTAGGTGTGTCCTTGGTGAAGATCACTGTACTGGGGACAGTAATGGGGACTGACTGCCTTCCATGCCTGTTTAGCTTCCCAACTGTGAATTGGTGCAGGGACCTCCTACCAAGGCAGTTAGGGCACGACTAACAGTGCATGGCTCAGGAGTTTGCAATCTCTGGGGACACACTCAGGCAAGCCCCTAAGAGAGAGTGCCCTTCCTGAGAGGGCAGGGATCCACTTTCCAAAGCCCTCTTCCTGAGGGCAAAACTGTTCTCCTCCCTAGTTAATGAGCCAAAGGATTACAATGGGGGCTTAATCCATGGGGGGACTCGCCAAATAAAATTTTGGCTTTTCACTGTCACCCGTGTTGTTAGGTTACCTCGAGTGTGTTCCCACGCTATATGTGCAACAGAACAAACCACTGCCGGGTCCTGCGCCATCCTCCCAATTGTGCTTGAACCTATTGTGGCAGCCACTTAAATCCGTCTTGTAGGGGGTCTTCCCCTTTCTCGCTGCCCCTCTACTTTACCACGCATCATGTGCTGTCGTGTATAGCCTTGTACAAACCGGCGTTCAGAATTTAAGCTTCAAAACACAAGCCATGCATCTCCATCGGACACGGTTGGCACCGTTAAGTGAAACAGTCAACTTGTTCAGGTTTCTCTATAACCAAATCAGCTGCAGGAAATGCACTAAGGCAGGGATACTGTTTTGCATGTGACCCCGCAGAGTAAGTGTAAACGTCCACGCTTCTCTGCGTTAAGCGTTGCTCTCCATCTCATAGAGAAAATGAGGCGCAGAGCGTGTTAGAAGCCAGTCGAACCGAGTTTGACCCGCCCGTCAACATAATCTACAGAAGATGGAAACTAGGCGCT